GCCACTCTCTTTCCTCAATCGCGGAACCCAATCTCTTGAAGCCGTAGAAACAATCATTCAAAGTATATTGTAGAATCCATCGTGGGTGTGGACAAGGGAATGGCAGAGCAACGTACAATCATATCATCGTGGCCCGAGTTCGCAATGACCTGCGCCTGTTTCATTGCGCACAAGTTAGTTACTTCACTTTAGCCATGGCAATTTCTCGCGACGTCAAGACTCGGAGAACCACCAACTAGGCAGAGGGAGAGTTGTATGTCCAGCGAGGAACCCCAGGCTGTGTGTTCACTCAATTGCGTAGTCTGCGGCAAGGGACGAAAAAGGGCACCAAAAGAAACATACCATTTCCACGTCAACTGCGTCTGGACAGGTACTCGGGGAATATGTAGGTGGGTAAATGAAGGGAGAAAAGTGTGACGGCACAAGAGGAAAACACTACCGCATATCGGGACGGATGTGACAGATGTAAGCACGGAGAATGGAGGGAACACGTCGAAGACTCGTAAATGGGTGGAGGATGGTGTTTGCGCGACTTGACAAGTTTCGTGATCTGGCAACTATTTCGCTGCTGGAGTCCAGATGCGCAGTTCAGCCTCGTGTGCTCCGTGCATCTCTGATCCGCCATCTTATCTTATCGGACGAGGCTGCGCCGTTGTGACAGTCATCGCGTACAAAGACACCCACTAATACTACATGTTGACTGTGTAAGTTGTTCAGTACCTCATTCGGCCACAAAAGTCTCATTCTTCTTGTTTGATGTAATAGCCATCAGACAAGACACTATATGCCGCCCAAATAGAGGCATCCTTCTGGAAAATCTGGGGTAGTTCTACATTCCATTCCGGCACATTGCATATGCAACCAAAGACTGGCTGATATATTCGCGCCTCGCAGTCCCCGTCCGATCATTTCAAAAACCGTAATGCCCCGATGCATGTAGCCTGACCAGCTCTTCCTTTTTCTGACCAGAGATCCCACCCACTCCTGAACAGCTCCAGAATATAATGCACAAGCACCGCGAGGACTCAATCGAGGCTCACGAAAGACGAGAAAGAGTAAGGACGTTCCGTTTCAAACCCGCACAGACAACAAACTCGACTACCTGCCGAGTGGTAAGGTATGCCGGTGCAATCCCTCATTCCACACAGGCAGCTTCTTGTCTCGCTCGTAGACCAACCCGCAACTGTTGCATAGTGTCTGCTCGAACATCACCAGTCAGCATCGTCAAATCTCAAAGGGGTTCAGGAGTCGCAATCACAAGTTGGAAAGACAGAGGCAGAAGCAAAAGGGAAACAGGAGGGGACTCACTCTAGGACCCATAGGTCCATCCCGAACAGCCCAGACGGCGCTGCCCCAAATGAGACAATGTTTACACCGCCAATTCTGCCTCTCGTATTCCTGCAGTCGATTGCCTTCGCCTCCCCAGCCAGCACCAGCAGAGCTTCCAGTAGCATCCGGGGTCTGTGCCTTTGCCACGGGAGAGAGCGATCGGAACCGCCGCTTCTTCTTGCTTCTTTCTCCACGTCCCATGAGGGGAGTGTCCTCTCCTGTCCCGGCGCTCCCAATGGTGGTGTAGTCAAAGTAACTTCCTCGTTGCTGTGCTTCCTGTTCTCGAGCAGAGGGCACCATCCCAGCTGTGGAGCTGAATTTGGCAGTCTCTCTCCGCAATCTCCTCAGTTGACGTTCACGATCACCCTCTCTCTTCTCGAGCTCTTCTTTACTCAGAGCCTCGAATTTAGGCTCCCATTCGGCGCCAAAATCGTCAATGTCGTATCTCCACCCGGCACCTTCTTCGCCTCGGACGGCTTGGTTGTCGATTTCTCCGCTTAAATGGTTCCCACCGATCATGACCATGCCGCCTTCGCACGCCTCCTTCTTCAGTCGCAACACTGCTTCGTAGATCGCATGAGTGATGGCCATAACCCATTCGCCGCCCAATCCCATGTCTGCGCAAGTCTGTCTTGCAAATGCCTCTGCAGCACCCGGTGGATGTAACAATGACCATTCGAATTTGTCTTGGTAAAGTTTCGAGGAGAGGTAGATTGAGAGCGTAATTATGCAGCGGTACGTGTCGTCCGGATTAAGAAATGGATCTTCAGAGTCATCCTGCTGCTCAATCAGGGGTTCTGGTGGTAGCGGAGAAGCGACTGCTGTTATAGAAGCGCCGTTGGTCAATGTAATAGGATGAGGTGTTGAAATGGCGGGAGTTCCCGGTGTCGTAGAGGTTGGACGCGAGATGGAAGCCCCCAGGTGCGCCCGGGGTGTGCCGCCACGAGAGCTTCCATTGACAAAAGCTGACGGTGTTGGAGCAGGGTTGGTGTCAGGCATTTGCGATCTCTTCTGCTGAGTGTGAAAGAGAGGATGCATGGCAACACCCGCGTAATCCTCCAGTTGGGTCCGTATTTGCTGACTGACGTTCATGGCAAGGCCCGTTTGGTTCGGCAAGTCCAATTCGCGGACGAAACACTGCGCGAAGTCATCCGGAGTGAGCAGATTCTCGTGGAGATTCCACAGAAAAATGTCCCGTATCTTGTAGCCCGGCAAAGGTTCAGGTTTCTTGAACATTGGGAGAGAAGGGTTGACTCCGATGTCCCCTGTGCGTGGCAGGGGGAAAGGCGCTTCAGGCTGGTAGGGAGGTACATCGAGATCGATACGTATCGGTATAAGGGTGAGTGGGAGTTGCGACTGGATGTGTGCCTGGGCATCGGTCCTGTTCGACACAACAAAACTTGGTCAATAACACTACAGTGAGATTTCAACAGGTCGAGGGGGCAGCACTAACGTGGGCCTCACGGTCCTCCTGATTATCCAATCCCGATAAATGGGCTGCACATCGACAGGCTCGTGTATTTCCTTTCCCACCTTTTCATGCTGCGGTTCCTTTTTCTCGAGCTCTTCCCGTCGTAGCGATCGCAGTCCGGTCGGTCGCCGGGGCCCCTCGCTGTCTTCAAAGTCGTCCTCATCGTAGGCATCATCTGCGTAGTTGATTATGGTTGTCCCTCGTTTGGTGGTGCGACCGCCGGGCACGACATTTTGGGTCTGGAGAACGGGCTGGAGGAGGGTGTTGGTGTACTGGCGAATTCGTGGGGGATAGCTGGTCACATATGCTTGCGCGGGCGCCATGGTGCATCGCGGTTGGCTGGACGAGTGATACAACACTATGACATGGTCGACAGCGACAAGGCTTGGAAAGAAACGACTCCACGCACCACGCCCGTCAGAAGGGTATCAAGGGAATTGGCCAAAGCGTGTCGCAATGCGCTGCAGTAACGGGCGACTTGAAGAAATGTTCGCAGTCGCGACTTTCGATCCCTTCCGAGACGGGTCTAGTGCCAAGCCAAGGGACTCCCCGGTAGTCCCAAGACACTAATCCGATATTGGAAAGAGCTTAAATTGGAAAGTATTCGACGATACCTCCTCAATCACCAGTTCGCAGAGGGTCACATCAAGATGAGATGATGCCCTAGAAATTGTCCACTTTGGATCATATGTTCAACCCTCACCATGAAGGTGCTTCCTCGAGCCCTTGGCCTGAAAGGCCTTTATGAGGTCGCGCTTTGATAACCCTGGTTTCGTGGAGACAGCCTCCCCATTGACCACATCCTTGCCAGAGCCCAACTGACAAACCGGCAACTGTTGAAGCATGTTTCTTGTCCGGCTTTCGGATTGCTTAGATCTTTGTAATTTTTCTTGGGCTAGCTCAGATATTGTGTCCGCCATCGTGAAACATGCGGGGAACTGTTCGTGCCCTTGACCTTGGAATCGTCCTTTCTCCCACTGAATACGTCGCTTTTCCCACTCAATAGTCCGAGTATTTTTACCCGCCTGCCCGAGATGATATCCTGCAGTCTTCACCGCAAGTCCCATAGTTAGCATCCGGCGAAAGTGGAGGAGCGGATGAAATGCTCCGTCCTGTCCACTGTGAACAAGCGATAGGAAAGCGCAAGTACCTCGTATATTGTCGAGGCTCGATTCCTGGCCTCATTGATTGAGCCCAAGCTCAAGTGTTGTACGAGGTACAAATTGTAATCTCCTCGTAAAACTAGCTCTCTCTGTTGGACCCCTTGTACCTATTTCGCCAAGCTAGAGCCCTTAAATCACCCTCAGCCTTGCATGGGCATGTCCGCCCCACTTTTAATCCCAGACAAGGCTGAAGTGATATATAGACAAAGGCACCCAGCATACTCACTCTCAGTACCAACGAGAAATTCACTCACCACCAAGGCCCCCACTCCGAAGAAAATAATCATCAATATCATTTATTCCCTCGTAATTTCCTGCAACATAGCCCCCCCACCAAGTGAAAAATCACACACCAAAAAAAAAAAAAAAAAACTTGAAGTTCGAACAGCACTTGGAGACCCCTACAACTTCGAGTTCGGGGGGGCTATTGTTAACAATATTGGGAAAAGGTCTAGTGGGTTAGGTGGGAGGGGCCTTCTAAAGGGGATTCATGAGCTTGCTGTAGGGGTCTTGCACATGATTCTCCTGTCCCAGAGTACCTCGTGGCTGTTGTAAGATTGCTCGATTTAACCCTCTCCACCGGGGAGAGGATAGGAGCCGCAACACCTGCGAGGGAAATGGGAGAAGGTATACTAGAAGCCGCCGGAGCCAACTTTACCTTTTTGCTGCTGGATGGGAATCAACAAGGAAGGTCCAAAGAGAAAAGTTCACTGTCCAAGTCTCGCCCATGGAGAAACATGTACATATTTTTTTATTACCCCAAGTTACAAATGAACAAACGTGGGATCCTTCTTCACCAAGCTAACGGCACTAGGTGATTGTGACTGGAGGTAAGAAGAAACCCAAATATTGGCTGTATGGAGCCTCACCCAGCTACTTATGGGCAAACCTTAGCTGTGCAGGCAATGTCGCGACAATCACCCGTTTCATACTCCCAAAGGCCCTAACACATGGATATTCCGAAACCGAACTTCTTTTTCTCCTGATCGCTCAATGCAAAACGCCAACACGGCAACGAAAGAATGACTGCGCTCCTGTCATCGAAGGCCAATCACGCTCTGAACAGGATGTCAGCACAACGGTATATTGACACAACAAAGGGGTAACTCACCATTTCGAGGGTCCACACTCTTCGAATCCATACCTTCAACTTGCCCTCAACCCCATCCACATCAGTCAGCTCAACACCCTCCCACCAACATCTCCGAGCCGGTTTTCGCCAAAACAGGAGGAGTTTTTGAGCCATGCCCACAGCATTGCTCCCGGCCAAATCCCCTTTGATATCAGTCCGTAGCCGCGCGAGAGCCAGGCTGCAGATAACGGCCTTGTTTGGTTCTCCAGCTCGATGACCCCAGGCATCATCGTGATTAAAACCGCTGTATGTGTCAGCATCTCCATCTGAGCTGATCGGTTTGTGGAACATACCCAGCGGTCAGCATTTCAATCAAATGTTGCTCTGTCGTGCCAGCTTCTTCACTCCGCTTAAGGCCAGAGAAGATTCCGTCTTGTTTGAGTAAGGATTTACCAGCGGCCCGTTTGATCTCTGTCATTTCCGGCTGCTCAATGTCTGGACGAGGAGGAATGACGTAAAAGTCAAGATCTTCTCTCAAGACTATGATTCCCGCTCGGTCCTGAAGCATGTCCTTGGTCGAACCCTGTAAGGGTTCAATCGAGATGGGGTCATGTTCTGGTGGTGTTGTTGGGGAGGGAGACGTGGAGGGTATTGATTGAGCCACATCTCGGAAGAAATTTAACATATACTGAAGGGAGGCTGGGTCATACTGTGAAGAATAGGTTACATCTCCGATATAGATACAAGGATTGCTAAGAACAACAATGGGATGGGGGCTTTGATTGGGACGTACGTCAACCGGGTAGACATCGCCTTCGTGAAACGAGTTCATGTGGCCATCCGGGAGAAGGCCATTGGGGAATAATGATAGCAGCACAAACTCGGGCAGCGTCAACAATTCATCACGGGAAAGGGTGAAATGCGTTCCCCTGAGGTACAGTCAGCTTTCTGTCTGCTGGCTTTCAGTGTGAGCCAAGGAAACAAACCTCAAGTCCAATGTGATGTGTTCATCAGCTGCGGCCTCGCCTGCTACACACCCATCGTGTCAGTCTTCATCACTTCCCCCCAAGAGCATCGCCACTCACCTCCTAAAGTGTTGATTGGTGGGCCTGTTTGCTGAACCTGTGTGATGATGCTGGCCGCACCACCCGCTGCCGCCATGAGGTATGAGAACGAGTCTAACGGACTAGAACCTTCGGTATAAGGTGGCGGCGGCTCTCCGTCGTCAACAGCCTTGCCGGAAGAAGACTGAGCTTTTGTGTCTTGTGGGAGGGCAGCTTTTGTCTCGCGCTCAGCCTTAGACCCGGGTTCGTCTTCGGCGAGAGCCTCCTCGAAGGAGGGTGCCGGGGCAGAGGCTAAGAGCGAGTCGCAATGAGTCTCGGTGACAGTGGCTCTGATGCGGTCGAGCTCGGCCTCGGATGGAAAGTAGAGGGAGGAGAAGGGAGGTGGTCGTGGGGAGGGAGGACTCGAGGATGACGCTGCGGACCTGGGAGAATGTGGCGGCGGTGCAATGTATATCTTGTCCTCGTTTTCAGTGTCGTCGTTGTCGAAGGAGTGGTTGAATCTCGACAACGCCGTGATGGGCGAGTCTCCTCGATCAAAGACCGGAGGTGACAAGGTGACTGATTGGGCGCCGCGAGTGCGCAGCAAGTAATCAAACAACCAATGTGGAAGTCGTGTCGAGTATTGTTTAAACGAGGCAACGCGCAACGACAGAATCGGCACTGAGTAAGGGGAGTCGATCTTTTTATCTTGACAGAGGTCCTGCGAACGTAGCGATCGCGAGGAGGAATGTTGATTAAGGATGAGAAGGGTGGTGGAACATTGGATTGAGTCACGTTGAGCTGGACATTGGGCGTTTGGGATACTGGTATTGTGCAGAGTTGCAGCAGAGGTGCGAAGTTGGATCACGATGGGCCAGGTTGAGAGAAACGGGCCAGGTTTAGTGGCTTCCCCGTTATTTTGCACGGCTGCTGCAGGTGGAAGTTGCCCGTTGGTGTGGCTTATAAGCGCCTTACGGGCGTCCAAACAACCCTGAACACCAACCACCTTTTACCTTGCTGGGCTCCCAAGGGCACCTCCCCCCTTAAGCTGCCGCACGACTGGGACATTTTCACTGGTCCCGCCGCCTCCGCTCTGCCCATCTTTAGTACCTGACGGGCCGCCACGCCTTTCCCTTGCTGTTAAAACGGGCCCCGGAGCATGGGGCTCCTCGCCTGTACCGATTTTGGGAGAATGGTAAGACCTGCGTTAGATTGTACTTGCAGTTAGGATAAAATAGATATTATATCTTAAGCATGGCCCAGGATAGCTATAGATGGCTTCTTGCTCCCTCCTTCAAGCCCTGGACGCCAACTGCACCCCCCGCCTGCTCCCTAAATACTCGTAGAATTTGCGTTGCCCTCACTCTACCACGCATGCACCATCTCCCTCCACGGCTACCACAACTACACGTACCTAACCATCACCGTCACTTCAATGGATTCAACTTGTCAATGATGCCCTTCTCTTGCCCCGCCGGCCGAACATCTCCACTTCCTTGACTGGGAGTTAGAGTCTCGCCGCCAGATCCTGTGACGGTGCTGCTCTTCCCTCCCTCGGCAACGCCAGCAACCCCCCCAGTGTTCTGAACCTCGCTTCCCGGGTCCAGTTCGACACTCTTGTTCGCCGCGCCGGCGTGCCCACTCGTTCCGATAATGCCTGATCCTGCTCCGGCGCCGGCGGTGGTCGAGGCTCTCTTCTGGCCTGGAAGCCCAAACAGTTCTGAGTGTGAGGATGCAGTACCTTCTGAGGTGCCCGTCGTGCTTGTTGTCTGGCTGTCGGTCATTTTTTTTTTCGAAGAGGTAGGCCCGACCAAGTGCGGTAGACAAGGTTGCTATACGAGATGAGTTTTTTGCGATGGTCTTTGTTTCTTGTTGTCAAAATTTGCCTTTGCTAGGGAGTCGTTTTCTAGCAAAATGTCTGAATAGACGTGGTACGAAAACATGCACCACCCTTAGATATATTCTACTGAATGCTCCCTGCACAGCCCCAAGTCCATTGTTGACGGTCGCTTGCTACAATGACTTCACCTGGCATTATCTGACGACAGCAGCATGACGATCATGGCGAATGCTGAAGAGGCAAAGAGGGGCACCTCGTCTTCGGATTAGTTCTCCGATCAAAGAGGAGGGAGATGCCTCTGAGCCTCGTCACACGCCCAGCGCATAGCCCAGTGCCTAAAAGACATCCATCACCCAGTACTTCCCGGTTTGTGTAGCAAAGATCAGCAAGGGGTCTGTCTTGGTTCGCCCACATAGCGAGGCCGCCCAGGAAATTGTGGCAAGAAGCGAACTTGATAGAGAGATCCCGGCGCTGCCAAAGCTGATTCCACGCGATTCTCATGGTCGGCTAGTAAAGCATAATCCCATGCCCTTCCCGTCTCGCTCCAAGAAAGCTTGCTGCTGGGTTACTTTTTGAAGAGCTGTAAAGCGTTCCTGCTACATAATTTCTCCTTGTCGTCGTCACTGGCAAACACCTGGGGCAGATACTCATCGTGCTGCTTGGACAGGCCTTGGACCACCGGTAAGGGCGTGTAAGGAAAATCGCTCCCAAACAGCATCCTATCGACGGTGACGTACTCTAGCAGGCCCTTGGCCTGCTCCGGGAACGCCCATCCCGCGGTGTCGAAGTAGAATTGTTTGTTGAGCCTCTCCTTGACCCATGCCGGAGTGACCTCGTTGGCAGATCCTCCCAGCTTCATGACCTCGGCGACGCTCGAGAACCGGTTGATCAGGGGTGGGAACGCGCCTCCGACGTGTGACATATGGAAGGTGATGTCGGGACACCGCTTCACGGTGCCAGTCAGGAACAGATTGATGACGGCGCGAGCACTGTCAAACAGGAACTCAAACATCGGTCTCGGGAACTGAGGGAGTGGCGTCGCCGCAGTTCCCGACGACAGGCAAGGGGTGGTAGGATGGATGAAGACGACGGCTTTTCTCCGGTTCAACTCGTCGAAGACGGCGTCAAAGTCCTTGTGTCCGAGATACGTCCCGTGAAAGTTGGTGAGCACAACAAACCCGTCGGCGTTGAGGTGGTCCATGGCATAGGAGATCTCTTGCAGGCTGCCTTCGACGTCGGGTAAGGGGAGAGAGGCGAAGAAGCCAAATTGGTCGGGCATTCGCTTCTTCAGATCCGCCCCGACCTCGTTGACGTGTCTGGCCAGTTTTCGGGCAAGTGCGTCGTCGCCTGCCTTGAGGTGGACTCCCGGTGTGCTGATGCTGAGAATCGACTTCGTCACGTTGATGGATTTCATCATTGTAAGGTGACTCTCTTCGCTCCATTCCTGATCACAGCCATTAGCTAGCCTCTTGGGCAGATTGATCGGGGGCTCTGCAGACGTACCGGAATCGCTGGCATGCCATCAGGGTTCTTGTGGCCATTTTCAGCAAGAGCCTTGCGGTATTCCCTGAGGAAATCAGGTTAGGAGGACTCGACTCGACTCGCTTCGCTTCGGGCGCCTCCCGAGAATGAATTGAACTTACGCAGGCAGGTAGTGGGAGTGACAGTCAATCTTCGGATAGGGAGACATTTCTGGCTTGCGAGTAGTAGTATTGCGCCGGTATCAAGGAGTGCAAAACTATCAGTTGACAGATTCGGAGGGTTCTGGTGCTTCGTTCATATAAGACGGACGTGGCGGTATATCGCGGGGTTTGTGGAGGCCCGCAGTTTCCCACAAACCACCTCGTTAAACCTGGACTTTGCAAAGACCGATCTTTACCCGCCTCGCCGCCAACTTGTGTGGGACGGGAAGCAATGGTGGGCTAATTGGACGCAGCGCTTTGGAAACGTCCCACGACGCAGGGGTCTGTACACAATACCCGTGTCTTGCCCGATCGAGGCTTGGAAGGAAGTCTGGGAGTTTTGGACTGGGGTGTGACACAGGACTGCGCAGGCAAATGGAGGTGTGTAGACGAGGGAATTCACTCCCACACCCATGCCAGGAAGGTGCAGACCTATCGACGCCTGGCTGTTGTTGATCAGACAAAGTACAATATGGCCCCCCTCCTTCTCCCATCAACCCGCCAGAGCCTTGCCTATCATCTCCTTTGCCCTCTCACTCAGATCCATGGCGAGCGCCAACTCTTGCCCCCTCTGGCCCATCTTCACCCACGTCTTCTGCAATATGCCAATGATCTTCTCTTCATCGTGGCCCTTTTCGAAGTCGTCAAACTGGTCGTCCAGAAACACCAGGCACGCGACATCCTCAATGACCTGCGCGTCGGCGTCGCCCTTACCTTCCCCCTTTTTAAGATCCTCCTTTGCAATCAGCGCTGCCACCTTGCCGGCTTCCTCCTCCGTGTACGAGCACTCCAGGCAGATCTGCCTGACTTGCTCGGCCTGCCGGTTCTTCAGGAACGTTCGCCACGCAAAGTACCCGGCTTTGGTGCGCGGGTAGCTGTCTCGCGGCACTTCCCAACGGCGGAAATGCTGGGCACGGGCGGCCGTGGCGAGCAAGGGGCCCGCGTTCGGCGTGTGGAGGTTGAGGTAGCGTGTCATTTTCTGAGCATAGTGTAGCTCGTAGGGGATTTTGTCGCCGTTGATGTCGACCGTGTTCGGGTCCTCTCTGTGTGCTGCGTCTATCAGTTCCAGAGCTTTTGAGACGTCCGGAGCCATGGCGGGATACAGAGAGTGAGTGACCGTGTACTTATACTCTCTACAGACGCTGAACTTTTGTCGTTTTACTATTGTGAAAAAACACGCGAGATCTTCAAGTGCATTTGGGATCTCGTGGTCCGAATCTGCCGAAGATTTTCCCAGTGTCTAAAAAATGATGTCACTCTGCAGTGGGGGATGTTTTGCATGTGCGAGAGTCAACGATCCAGAAGTTATGGAGGTATGGAATCCTCTCCAAAGCCCAGCACGTCGAAATACAAGTGATCTTGAGTTGACGGTGCCTGTGTGTCCTCCCCCGTTTTATAATCCGATCGCAGGAGAAATAGTCAACAACAGACGTCCTCTCGCCCTTTTGGCAAAGTCTCTGGCAAACGCCAACAAACCTGTGCTCCCAACGCTCTCTAATCTGTGTTCAAGCGCCGCCCTCCCTCTTTGCATACTCGTCCTCCATGCGCTCCTGGTACAAAGCATCAGCCTCCTTTGACGTGATCCTCTTCTGCTCGCCCACTCCACCACTAGTGATGCGTCCTTGAGCAGGCTGTCCCGCTCCTCCATTCGCGACAATGTATTGCTGTTGCTCTGCTGTCGGAAGGGTGGTCTTTGTCTTTGTCGTCGTTGTTTTCTTGTGGCTGGCCGAGGCGCCCAGGGACAGGGAACCGGAAACCGCGCCAGCAACAGAGGCACCGGCATTGGCGACAGCCTCGGACGTGCGTTTGAAGAATCCAGCGTCGTCCGACATCCTTTTTTTTTTTGGCGTCCGGTCAGCGAAGGAAGATGCCTACAGGTAGAGTCCTCTTGAGCTCAAATATTGGTGTGGAGAGGAGGTATGAGTGTGTCTTCAGCCTGTAAACGAATATATTAGGGTGGGAAGAGGTTGAAAAGAAAGGGTGGTGCAGTCGTGGAATTGGATAGGAATATATTTCCAGGGCCATGTGGGAACTCTTTTCCCAGTACGCCACAACGCCCGACCCCGTTGCCACGAGGGGGGGGTTCTATCAAAAACAGGTTTTGAGGACAAGATTACCCTTTTCGAAATCGGTTCTGTCGCACATGTCAAGAGCTGAACAGTGAGGCAACCACGCACCGAGCACGGATGTGCCTGAAGATCGCAGCTTGTGGCAAGGACATGGTGGTGATGTCATGGGGATATTCAAATGACAATAATGACCAAAATGACAGCAACTTTTCATTGAATAGTACTAGGTATTGCATGTCATTTGACACAGCTCCCTGGAGAGGATCCACTCTACTCGTATTGTACGGTCCTGCTTATACGCTATCGCTGTGATTGGCCGGAGCAAACAAGGCTGTCTTTGTCGCAGGGTCAATCATGGACAAGGCTGTGGTTCAGGGACAAAGCACAACCGGGTCTGTAACAACAAACGCTCCTAACCCACCAGGATGAAAGATCATTGTCTCCTATACATAGAAGCGCTGGGAATAGCAACCTGCTGTTTGATGCAACTCAATAAGACGTGAAGTTCGTAGTTTGCGACGCAAGCAAGAGAAGAAGAATATGCAACTTGTTTTCCACCTCCTTGATTTCTTCAGCCTCGCGACTCTGTCTAGAGATATATATTCTGTATTCATTCGAGATCCCAGCTAAGTCGCTTCTATTGCATAGACACAGACCACAGTCAGTTAATTTTCGCTGCTCTCTTCACCTCTGTCAGTCATAGAACTGCCTTACCAAGTTGTCATTGTGTTCGCATGATCCAGCATTCAGACGGTACAAACCAGTAGCGCTTGCAACTGCCTCACCCGCTGATTCACTGCCTCCAATCTGTCGATAAAACTCAGCCATGCCCATTTGCTTCTTCACAACAAAAGATCACACTTACAACTGTCTCTGGAATCGCGTTTTTCCTCGCTAAACCCAACGCCTTCTCGATCCACCCCGACCCAGAGGTCACTTCATCTCCCGAGACCAGCGAACAGCCTCAGACAAATACCTTGAATACCTTCACCATGCTGTCCTTCAAGTGGACACTCCTTCTCTCGCTCTGGCTCGTCGCCAATGTCGCAGCCATTCCTCGCATCGCCACCCAAGAAATCGAACTCTTTGTTGGCGCAGCTGGCGCCGTTACCATGGCAAGTGCTCTCGGTTGGCACCTCCTCAGAAACAAAAGAGCGGCAGAGGCCCCGGCCTCTGTTGGCCCCAGTTTTGTCAAGACAGTCGTGTCGAAAGGCAGCCGAGATGTGATTTTTCGACCGACGCACCCTTCGACTGTACCCATGACACGATTCTTCTCTGTCCAAGCATGGACCAATGGCACAATCATCTATACGGAAGAGATTGTTGACTTGCGACTCGGCGACCTCACCAACAGAAATCCCAGTTCCTCTGTCATTGTGACGGAAGATATTTGCCTTTCTCATGAACGGATCGATCAGGACACCTGTGAGGCCGGCAACGTTTCCATGGGTATCGACGTTGAAGAGCTTCCATCGCCATCTGACAACGAACCCTCTGTCTGGCGGAGCCTTGCTTCAAGCATGGCGAACATGATTACCCATGCACACAGCAAAATGGAGCCTACCATTGAGTTTGCCAGACAGACGTTCTTCGCTATCCACAACTTCCTGAACAAGGCGCTCGTCCCTTTCCTGAGACTGATACCTACCCATCCAGCACTGGCTGCGTTTATTCTGCTCGGCATTCCACTCTTGATCAAACTTGGTCCTATCGCGGCGATGATATGCCTCATATTCATGCGCCGCTATGGTCCTGCCGCAGGGAAGAGAGGCCTATGGTTGTGCCGCGCCGCTGCTGCCACGACGGCGACAGTCTTCACATGGTTGTGCCGCTTTGCTGCTGCGGCGGCGACGACGGCCTTCATATTGTTGTGCCGCTATGCTCCTGTCGTCCTCCTTTATCTGCAAGACAGCCTAGCCAGGTTCATAAGGTGGAATGTAGAAGGAGACGAAGGTTCGGACATTGCCATCGAAGAGGCCCTTGAAGCACTGCCTGTTGACGAAGTAGTGGTTTCCCTCGACCCATCGACGGATGCACCACTGGATCCAACTCCCGCCACTCAAGTAACGCCGTCTCTACCAGAGACTTCCGAGAACGATGGCGTTGGAACTCTCGTCAACTCCACCGAGGCAGAGAAGCCGGCTGAACAGGCATCCCCTGTTGACACTCCACCACACGATAAAGAAGACGGCCTCCTCTCACAACCTCCATTCGCCTCGAAGGATCCGCTAGCACCAGACTTAGGGGGCGAACCGTCGCAATCCGACAGCTTACCGGTCGTGTCGAATCCGATCCGCCCGAGGGACATGGTTGAACATCTGGCGGATCGACCTTTCACCAGGCGTGACCCTCGAGCGAGATTGTCGATACTAACTGGTGCTAGAAATCCGGGTGAGCGGCAGCGACAACAGCTCGCCGAGAGAGCTTCAAGGCAGGCAGAATTCTCTGCTAAGGCTGACAGCCTGTACGCGATGGGTCGACCAGATAGGCGTTCTAGCCAACCTCAACCGGCTCGCATGGTCACAGAAAAACCAGGGTCGGATAATGATGTCGCGTCCGAGAAAGTGCCTTCTCCGCAAACAGAGTCGAGCGTTGTTTCGACCCCAGGTGACATTCCTGTGGTTGAAGAACTGGGTGAGAAAGAATCTCCAAACATCCAACTTCGGTCGAATACCACCAACGAGCATGAAACCGAATCGCACGATGGCGCATCTTCACAAAGCCAGCTCGGATTGGACGACGTCAATGAGCATGAAGATTTGAGCGCAGCGTCTCCTTCAAAAGACATTCCCATATTGGGCGAACCCCAGGAGGAAAAATCCTCAAACAGCCCGCTCAGGCCGATCACCTCCAACGAGAATGACCTTGTGGGACCGGAATCCGTTTCGACTGAGCTTCGCGATGGTAGAACTTCGACAGAGACTCCGCCTCTCTTGGAGCCCAATCTGGGTTCTATTCCTCCATCACAGGAAGAACAAGATTCGGCCGCTACTTTTCCTTCCACTTTTACAGAGGAGGAAAGCATCACGAGATCTTCTGGGCCTGTTTTTTCGTCAGCCAGCGCACCCATCAAGTCAAATGCAGTGGAGAACGAAGAGAAGGCCGAGGATGATAATTCCCAGAATCGTGTGGGAAAGGAAAAAGATATTCGTCCACGTCCGATGGTGGAAGATGCCGAAGATGAGGACGACAATCGACCTACCTCTACACCATCGACAGGCATCCTCGAAATGGTTGCGGGTGCAGAACAGCCCCTCGAGGGCGAAGCCAAGCGTGACAATGGCGGTAATGAAGGACCACTCTCCTCGAGCGTGTCTGGGATTGATGCCCCAGAGGAACGTCGTCAACAATCGAACGACGCTTCTGCTCAGCGCACTGACGATGCATCTGGAGTCAGCGGCGACTCCATCGCCACTGGCACTGCTGACTTTGGCGGCTTGTTCGATTCCGATAGCCCTGTCACAAGTCCATCTACGCAGAGGGACGTCCATCAGTCCCACGGCACAGGCGTACGTCGTCCCGGTGGACTTGACACCCAGACTCAAGAAGCAGGAGTGACGCCCTCCCGGAGCGAGCGCGTCCGTGGAGTCACCTTTGCAACGGAGTCCGACGGATCAGTGGTGAGCCAAACGTGCCATTTTCGCTCAGATGAGGCGCCCGCAGTATTGCGAGATTCCATGGTTGTAGATGCGCAAGGCGCAGCGGCCACTGGCATTCAGGTGTCGAATGAGCAGCCAACCCCAGTCGTGTCTGCGTTCGCTAGGACCCAAGGGCAACCCCTGGGTGGATCTGGATTTGATTCTGCCTTCCTGAGGTCCTTACAGTCATTCAGCCTCATGTCAGAGGAGGATCAAGCACGGGTTTTGGCAGAGAGCGCGCGAGGATCTGTGGATCCCCCTGTTGTCACCAGTCAAATGGACCCAGATCTCATGGACGTGACTGAAGATGCGCCGGAACCAGAACCAGAACCCATGCAATTCGAGCCACAACAGAAGAGCGTAGATGACATGCTGTCAACCGCCATGAGAGACTTATCATTAGAGCAGGATGCCGCCGAAATGGACTATGAACATGACGGCGCTGTGCATCAACTTCCGGTTGGACCAGAAGCACCTCAGGGTCAATCTTGGGCAGTGCATCAAGTTCTAGCTGAACTAGCAGCACCTCAGGGTCAATTTTGGCCAGTGCAACCGACCGTGCAACAAGAAGAGGTCGCCACGGGAGTGCCAGGGTATGAGCCCGCGCGTCCGGTTGGCCTGTACGTTGAGGACGTGGAGGAAGACGACCCAGGAGCTCCTAACCCATACCGCTGGCGGGAGTCTCAAATGCGTTCGGTGCTAACGAACGAAGAGTTCATGTTGGCGAGAGACCTAGCCGCGTTGCTCGAATTCAACAGAAGTGGAACGACTGAAGTTCCCCAGACGGTTAGCAATCAACCTGCGATTCAGTCGACATTCGAGCCCCAGCCGAATGAAGGACACTTCGCTCAGTCAGCAATTCCTGGTTTGAATATCCATCATGTGGCGGACCTGGAAGAGGAACGTCGTCAACACGTGTGCGGTGTTAAGAGAAACCGGGAGGACGACCCACTGCTTCCTGGAAACGAAACCATTGGCATACCTGACTTCCACCGAGCCACTCAGTATACAGGCACTGATCGAAAGAGGTTGTCAATGCGGTCTCCCCTTTCCCAGTGCAACACTTCTCAGCCCAAAACTCTTTTGGGGAGCGCGTTGGAGCAGGCTATAAGACGGCATTTACCT